AGTGGATTGTGGGATTAAACCTCAGAGCTCCTCACTGCTGGATAAGAACATGGATCTATTGAAATAAGGAACATCCTGAGCTTCTTCTGCTAAATGAGCTCATGGTTCTGGTTCTGGATAACAGAGTTAATGCAAAGATGAACTTGTGTTGAGTTGTTTTATTTATGAATGAAAAGAAGAAAATATGTATTATTTCTTTTATTTTACAGTTAAATTATTATTTATGTAATTAGGGTTTTTTGTAATCTTAAATGTTCTTAAATGTTAAACTGTCGACCTCTTACACTTCAATTTAAAAAAAAAAGGACCTTGTGGAATTTGGCAGATTTGTTTTTGCAGTTTTCAGTTTTAGGGGGTTATGTTTTCTTGAACATATATCGAGATTTATATCGTATATCGAGATATAGCAAAATATATCGAGATATATTTTTTGATCCATATCGCCCAGCCCTAATCTGAGCACTTTTTTCCCCAGTTGAAGCGCTTTGACTTTCCCTCAGACTGTGTAGGTCAGCCCAAGGTCGTCCATGTTCAGGCCACACACCGTGATCCAGAGTGAAAACACCACGACGCTTTAATTGTGAATGAATCAACGCCGAAATTGATCTGAGTAAAACATATATTTGGCTTGACTTCATTCGTAAAGGTTTACTGTGGAAGGTTTTGCTGCAGGCGTTTCCATGGAGACGTTTCTTCTCAGAAAAAAAAAACACCTGTCGATTGGTTCGTGGCTTTGAAAAGGTCAACGATGTGAATGGATGTTCTAACGTGTGTCTGACACCTGCCTCCGACCGCAGCTGTGCACACGCTGGCTCCTGTCCACACGCACTGCACCTGCCAACGGAGAAGAGAGGGATGAGGAGGAGAGGGGGAAGAGACGAGGAGGAGGAAGAGGGAGAGGAGGAGAGGAGGAGGAGAGGAGGAGAGAGGAGGAGGAGAGAGAGAGACGAGGAGGAGGAGGAGGAGAGAGGAGGAGGAGGAGGAGGAGAGAGGGAGACGAGGAGGAGAGGAGACGAGGAGGAAGAGAGGGAGACAAGGAGGAGGAGGAGAGGAGGAGAGAGGGAGACGAGGAGGAGAGGGAAGAGACGAGGAGGAAGAGAGGAGGAGAGAGGGAGACGAGGAGGAGGAGGAGAGAGGGAGACGAGGAGGAAGAGAGGGAGACGAGGAGGAGGAGAGGAGGAGAGAGGGAAGAGACGAGGAGGAGAGGAAGAGACGAGGAGGAAGAGAGGGAGACGAGGAGGAGGAGGAGAGAGGGAGATGAGGAGGAGAGGGAAGAGACGAGGAGGAAGAGAGGGAGACGAGGAGGAGGAGGAGAGGAGGAGAGAGGGAGACGAGGAGGAAGAGAGGGAGACGTGGAGGAGGAGGAGAGAGCGAGACGAGGAGGAGGAGGAGAGGAGGAGAGAGGGAGACGAGGAGGAGAAAGGGAGACGAGGAGGAAGAGAGGGAGACGAGGAGGGAGGAGGAGAGAGGGAGACGAGGAGGAGGAGAGGAGGAGAGATGGAGACGAGGAGGAGAGGGAGAGCCGAGGAGTAGAACGGAGAGACTAGGAGGAGAGGCGAAGAGGAGAGGGCAGAGATGAGGAGGAGATGAGGAGGAGAGGGGGCGAGACGAGGAGGAGAGGAGAAGTGGAGAGGGAGACGAGGAGGAGAAGGAGAGATGAGAGGGGGAGAGACGGAGAGGAGGAGGGAGGAGACGAGGAGGAAAGGGGGGGCCGAGGAGGAGAGGGAGAAGACGAGGAGGAGAGGGAGGAGACGAGGAGGAGAGGGAGGAGATGAGGAGAGACGAGAAGAGAAGGAGAGGGAGAGACGAGGAGGAGAGATGAGGAGGAGAGGAGAGACGACGAGAAGAGGAGAGGGGGAGAGACGAGGAGAAGAGTGGAGAGACCAGGAGGAGAGGAGAGACAACAAGGTGAGGAGAGAGGATGAAAGAGGGAGAGACGAGGAAAGTGGTGAGACGAGGAGAGAGGAGGAGAAGAGGAGAGACGAGGAGAGGATGAAAGAGGGAGAGACGAGGAAAGTGGTGAGACGAGGAGAGAGGAGGAGGAGAGATGAGGAGGAGAGAAGGAGAGGCGAGGAGGAGAGATGAAAGGGTGAGATGAAAGGGAGAGAGAAAGGAGGAGAGGAGAGGAGGAACAGAGGAGAGATGACAAGAATATGTGAGACTAAGAGAGAGGGGCGGGTCAGAGGAGGAAAGGAGGAGGAGAGGAGAGGTGAAGAGAGGGAAAAGAAGAGGAGGAGGAGAGGGAGAAAGGGAAGGGAGAAACGAAAGAAAATGAATGGGCAGAAGAGTGAGAGAGGAGGGTGAGAGGAGAGGAAGATGAGAGAAGAGAAAGGAGAGGAGTAGAGGATGAGAGGACGAGTGAAGAGAAAGGGGGAGAAGTGAGAGAGGAGGAAGGAGAGGTGAGGAGAGAAGAGGATAACAGGAGGGGTGAAAAGGGGGAGGAGAGGAGAGATGAAGAGAAGGATGAGAGGAGAGGTGAAGAGGAGGATGAGAGGGTGGAGATTAGGAACAGAGGAGAGGTGAAGAGCTGAAGGAGAGAAGAGAAGGATGAATGGAGAGGAAGAGATGGAGGAGAGAAAAGAGGGGAGGATGAGAGCAGAGTTGAAGAGAGGGATGCGAGAAGAGGTGAAGCGGAGGATGAGAAGAGAAGTAAAGAGAGGGATGAGAGGGGAGGTGAAGAGGAGGATGAGAGGAGAGATGAAGAGAGAGAGGAGAGGTGAAGAGGAGGATGACAGGAGAGATGAAGAGAGGAGGATGAAAAGAGAAGGGAAGAGGAGGGATGAGAGGAGAGATGAAGAGAGGAGAGATGAAGAGAGGAGAGGTGAAGAGAGGGATGAGAGGAGAGGTGAAGAGGAGGATGACAGGAGAGATGAAGAGAGGAGGATGAGAAGAGAAGGGAAGAGGAGGGATGAGAGGAGAGATGAAGAGAGGAGAGGTGAAGAGAGGGATGAGAGGAGAGGTGAAGAGAAGGATGAGAGGAGAGGTGAAGAGGAGGATGAGAAAAGTAAAGAGAGGGATGAGAGGAGAAGTCAAGAGAGGGATGAGAGGAGAGATGAAGAGAGGAGAGATGAAGAGAGGAGAGATGAAGAGAGGGATGAGGGGAGAGATGAAGAGAGGAGAGATGAAGAGAGGAGAGATGAAGAGAGGGATGAGGGGAGAGATGAAGAGAGGAGAGATGAAGAGAGGGATGAGGGGAGAGATGAAGAGAGGAGAGGTGAAGAGAGGGATGAGGGGAGAGGTGAAGAGGAGGGTGAGAAAAGTAAAGAGAGGGATGAGAGGAGAAGTAAAGAGAGGGATGAGAGGAGAAGTAAAGAGAGGGATGAGAGGAGAGGTGAAGAGAGGGATGAGAGGAGAAGTAAAGAGAGGGATGAGAGGAGAGGTGAAGAGAGGGATGAGAGGAGAGGTGAAGAGAAGTGAAGAGGAGGAAGAGAGGAGTGGTGAAGAGAGGGATGAGAGGAGAGGTGAAGAGAGGGATGAGAGGAGAGGTGAAGAGAGGGATGAGAGGAGAGGTGAAGAGAGGGATGAGAGGAGAGGTGAAGAGAGGGATGAGAGGAGAGGTGAAGAGAGGGATGAGAGGAGAGGTGAAGAGAGGGATGAGAGGAGAGGTGAAGAGAGGGATGAGAGGAGAGGTGAAGAGAGGGATGAGAGGAGAGGTGAAGAGAGGGATGAGAGGAGAGATGAAGAGAGGGATGAGAGGAGAGATGAAGAGAGGGATGAGAGGAGAGATGAAGAGAGGGATGAGAGGAGAGGTGAAGAGAGGAGAGATGAAGAGAGGGATGAGAGGAGAGACGAAGAGAGGGATGAGAGGAGAAGTAAAGAGAGGGATGAGAGGAGAGATGAAGAGAGGGATGAGAGGAGAAGTAAAGAGAGGGATGAGAGGAGAGATGAAGAGAGGGATGAGAGGAGAGGTGAAGAGAGGGATAGAGAGAGGAGATGAAAGAAGGGAGAGAGGGATGAGAGGAGAGATGAAGAGAGGGAGGATGAGAGGAGAGAGATGAAGAGAGGAGAGATGAAGAGAGGGATGAGAGGAGAGATGAAGAGAGGGATGAGAGGAGAGGTGAAGAGAGAGGAGAGATGAAGAGAGGGATGAGGGGAGAGATGAAGAAAGGAGAGGTGAAGAGAGGGATGAGAGGAGAGGTGAAGAGAAATAGATCACCTGAGCTCGGAAACAAACGCTCCTAATGAAAAGAATAAATAGAGCCTCAGTGCCCTTCATCCCCGTGTGAGAGGAAGACGAGAAAGAAGAGAGGGAAGAGGAGGAAGAGGAGGATGAAGAGGAGGAGGAGGAGAGAATCAATACTCTGCACGCATTAACTGGACATTATGATCAGGCTTATCAGACCGGACGGAGGGAAGAAATGAAAAGGAAGGTAGGAGAGAGAGTGAAGGAGGGAGGGAGGGAGTGATGAGTAAAAAAGAGGTAGGGAGGGAGGGAAAGTGGGAGAGGAAGGAGGGATGAGAGAGAGGAGGGGAGAGAGAGGAAGGAGAGAGAAAAGAAGGGGAGAGCAGAGGAGAAGAGGAGGGAAGGGAGAGAGGAAGAACAGAGGGAAGAAGGGGAGAGTAGGAGAGAGAGGTAGAGGAGGGAAGAGAAGAGGAGGGAGAGAGGGAGGAGAGAGGAAAGAAGGGGAGAATAGAGGAGGGAGAGAGAGTGAGAGGAAGAGAAGGGAAGAGGAGGGAGAGAGGAAAGAAAGGGAGAGTAGAGGGGAGATGGAGAGGAGGGAAGAAAAGAAGAAGGAGTGATTGAGGAGAGAGGAAAGAAGAGGAGGGAGAGAGAGGGAGAGGAGGGAAGAGAAGAGGAGGGAGAGAGGGAGAAGAGAGGAAAGGAGGGGAGAGGAAAGGAGTGAGGGAGAGGAGGGAGCAAGAGAGGAGAGAGGAAAGAAGGGGAGAGGAGAGGAGGGAAGAGGAGAGGAGGGGAGAGAGAGGGAGGAAAGAGGAGGATGGGGGAATAGAGGAGGGAGAGAGAGGGAGAAGAGGGAAGAGAGGAGGGACGAGAAGATGAGGTAGACAGAAAGGAAAGAGGAAAGAAGGGGAGAGTAGAGGAGGAAGAGAGGGAGGACAGAGGAAAGAAGGAGAGAGTAAAGAAGGAAGAGAGAGGGAAAGAAGAGGAGGGGGCCAGGGAGGAGAGGAGAAAGCACGGAAGAGTAGAGGAGGGATGAGAAGAGAAGATGAGGGAGAGAGAATGGACAGAGGAAAGAAGGAGAGAGTAGAAAAAGGAGAGAGAGGAGGGAAAGAGAAGAGTAGAGGAGAGAGGGACAGGAGGGAAGAGAAGAGGAGGGAGCGAGGGAGGACAGAGGAAAGAAGAGGAGAGTAGAGAAGGGAGAGAGAAGAGAAGAGGAGGGAGAAGAGAGGAAAGAAGGGGAGAGTAGAGGAAAGAGGGAGAGGAGGGAAGAGAAGAGGAGGAGAGAGAGGGAGGAAAGCGAAGGGTGGGGAGAGTAGAGAAGGAAGAGAGAGGGAGAAGAGGGAGAACAGGAGCGAGGGCAGGACATAAAAGGAGAGGAGAGAAGGAAGAGAGAGGGAAAGGAGGGAAGAGAAGAGGAGGGAGAGAGGGAGGGCAGAGGAACAAAGGAGAGAGTAGAGGAGGGAGAGAGGGAGGAGAGAAGAGAAGAGAAAAGGGGAGAGTAGAGGAGGGAAGAGCGAGGGAGGTGAGACGAGGGAAGAGAAGAGAAGAGGAGGGAGAGAGGGAGGACAGAGGAACAAAGCAGAGAGTAGAGGAAGGAGAGAGGGAGAAGAGAGGAGAAAAGGGGAGAGTAGAGGAGGGAAGAGCGAGGGAGGAGAGACGAGGGAAGAGAAGAGAAGAGGAGGGAGAGAGGGAGGGCAGATGAGAGAAGAGGTGAGTAGAGGAGGGAGGGAAGAGAAGGAAGAAGAGTAGGGAAGAGAAGAGGAGGGAGAGAGGGAGGACAGAGGAAAGAAGAGAAGAGGAGGGAGAGGGAGGAGGGAGGAGAAAGGAAAGAAGGGGAGAGTAGAGGAGAGGGAAGAGAAGAGAAGAGGAGAGGAGGGAGGACAGAGGAAAGAAAGGGAGAGGAGGGAAGAGAAGAGGAGGAGAGAGAGGGTGAAAAGCGAAGGGTGGGGAGAGTAGAGAAGGAAGAGAGAGGGAGAAGAGGAAGAACAGGAGCGAGGGCAGGACATAAAAGGAGAGGAGAGAAGGAAGAGAGAGGGAAAGGAGGGAAGAGAAGAGGAGGGAGAGAGGAAAGAAGGGGAGAGTAGAGGAGGGAGGGAAGAGAAGGAAGAAGAGGAGGGAAGAGAAGAGGAGGGAGAGAGGGAGGACAGAGGAAAGAAGAGAAGAGGAGGGAGAAGGAGGAGGGAGGAGAAAGGAAAGAAGGGGAGAGTAGAGAAGAGAAAAGAGAAGAGGAGAGAGGAAAGAAGGGGAGAGAAGAGGATTGAGAGAGAGAGGAGAAACGAGGGAAGAAGTGAAGTAGAGAAAGAAGGTGAGAGGAGGGAGGACAGTTAGGATTCCACACACAGAATGTGAACAGGAAATGAAATAAAGCGCATGTTTGAAAAATTGATGATTGAAAAATTACAGGTGGGATATAACTCAAAATGGCTGCAGCTTCTCCCCATCAGGTGTGGAGAGAATAACGACACTTTAGAGAGGATGCATTACGAAAAATCCACTTTTGCGAGCTCTTTATCGTGTTACAAACTTGTTCCCTCATCAAAAACACGTCTGAAGAGGTTTAAGACGTCGTCCGTGCATGTTTGAGTCATTTAGCCTGCTCCGTGAGGACGAAAAACGACCAAAACGAATACAAACTTCACCATTGTCGTGTGGACAGACCCTTAGAAAGTCAATAAAATCCATTGCACCCTGCCACACTGACCTTGGTACGGTGCGTGCGCGGGTGTGAGTGACTGAAAGAATCTGCAACAAGTCTATCTTTGCCGGACACCGCAGCGGTTTCTGACGTCAAGCTGACAAAATCACACCAGCAAAACAGGAAATCAGATACACAGAGCTGACAGATTAGTGTATTTTCAGAATAAAATACCCCTGCACACTCCTGGTAATTCGCAAATGTACTTACCCAGTGCAGATAGCTTCGGTATCCAAAAGCATGAGGAAGCGGCATCCAAAAGGCACGAGAAAGTGGGATCAAAAGACGCGAGAAAGTGGGATCCAAAAGCACGAGAAAGTGGTATCAAAAGCACGAGAAAGTGGAATCCAAAAGCACGAAAAAGTGGTATCAAAAGCACGAGAAAGTTGTATCAAAAGCAGGAGAAAGTTGTATCCAAAAGCACGAGAAGTGGAATCCAAAAGCACGAAAAAGTGGTATCAAAAGCACGAGAAAGTTGTATCAAAAGCACGAGAAAGTGGTATCAAAAGCACGAGAAAGTGGTATCAAAGGGCGCTAGAAAGTTGTATCAAAAGCACGAGAAAGTTGTATCAAAAAGCATGAGAAAGTGGTATCCAAAAGCACGAGAAAGTTGTATCAAAAGCAGGAGAAAGTTGTATCAAAAGCACGAGAAAGTGGTATCCAAAAGCACGAAAAAGTAGTATCAAAAGCACGAGAAAGTGGTATCCAAAAGCTCGAGAAAGTGGTATCAAAAGCAGAAAGTGGGATCAAAAGCAGGAGAAAGTGGTATCCAAAGGTGCGAGAAAGTGTATCAAAAGCACGAGAAAGTGGTATCCAAAAGCACGAGAAAGTGGTATCAAAGGGCGCTAGAAAGTTGTATCAAAAGCACGAGAAAGTGGTATCCAAAAGCACGAAAAAGTAGTATCAAAAGCACGAGAAAGTGGTATCCAAAAGCACGAGAAAGTGGTATCAAAAGCACGAGAAAGTTGTATCAAAAGCACGAGAAAGTGAGAAAGTTGTATCAAAAAGCAGGAGAAAGTTGTATCAAAAGCAGGAGAAAGTGGTATCAAAAGCACGAGAAAGTGGTATCCAAAAGCACGAGAAAGTTGTATCAAAAGCACGAGAAAGTGGTATCAAAAAGCACGAGAAAGTGGTATCCAAAAGCACGAGAAAGTGGTATCCAAAGCACGAGAAAGTTGTATCAAAAGCACGAGAAAGTGGTATCCAAAGGTGCGAGAAAGTGGTATCCAAAAGCACGAGAAAGTGGTATCAAAAGCACGAGAAAGTGGTATCCAAAAGCACGAGAAAGTGGTATAAAAGGGCGCTAGAAAGTTGTATCAAAAGCATGAGAAAGTGGTATCCAAAAGCACGAGAAAGTGGTATCCAAAAGCACGAGAAAGTGGTATCCAAAAGCACGAGAAAGTGGTATCCAAAAGCACGAGAAAGTGGTATCCAAAAGCACGAGAAAGTGGTATCCAAAGGTGCGAGAAAGTTGTATCAAAAGCACGAGAAAGTGGTATCCAAAAGCACGAGAAAGTGGTATCAAAAGCACGAGAAAGTTGTATCAAAAGCAGGAGAAAGTGGTATCAAAAGGACGCGAGAAAGTGGTATCCAAAAGCACGAGAAAGTGGTATCCAAAAGCACGAGAAAGTTGTATCAAAAGCACGAGAAAGTGGTATCCAAAAGCACGAGAAAGTTGTATCAAAAGCACGAGAAAGTGGTATCCAAAAGCACGAGAAAAGTTGTATCAAAAGCACGAGAAAGTGGTATCCAAAAGCACGAGAAAGTTGTATCAAAAGCAGGAGAAAGTGGTATCCAAAGCACGAAAGTTGTATCAAAAGCAGGAGAAAGTGGTATCCAAAAGCACGAGAAAGTGGTATCAAAAGCACGAGAAAGTTGTATCAAAAGCAGGAGAAAGTGGTATCCAAAAGCACGAAAAAGTTGTATCAAAAGCAGGAGAAAGTGGTATCCAAAAGCACGAAAAAGTTGTATCAAAAGCAGGAGAAAGTGGTATCCAAAAGCACGAGAAAGTGGTATCCAAAAGCACGAGAAAGTTGTATCAAAAGCACGAGAAAGTTGTATCAAAAGCACGAGAAAGTGGTATCAAAAGCACGAGAAAGTTGTATCCAAAAGCACGAGAAAGTTGTATCAAAAGCACGAGAAAGTTGTATCAAAAAGCACGAGAAAGTTGTATCAAAAGCACGAGAAAGTGGTATCCAAAAGCACGAGAAAGTGGTATCAAAAGCAGCTAGAAAGTGGTATCCAAAAGCACGCAAAAGTGGTATCCAAAAGCACGAGAAAGTTGTATCAAAAGCACGAGAAAGTTGTATCCAAAAGCACGAGAAAGTGGTATCCAAAAGCACGAGAAAGTTGTATCAAAAGCACGAGAAAGTGGTATCCAAAAGCACGAGAAAGTTGTATCCAAAAGCACGAGAAAGTGGTATCAAAGGGCACGAGAAAGTTGTATCCAAAAGCACGAGAAAGTTGTATCAAAAGCACGAGAAAGTGTATCAAAAGCACGAGAAAGTGGTATCCAAAAGCACGAGAAAGTTGTATCCAAAAGCACGAGAAAGTGGTATCAAAAGCACGAGAAAGTTGTATCCAAAAGCACGAGAAAGTGTATCAAAGAAAGCACGAGAAAAGTTGTATCCAAAAGCACGAGAAAGTGGTATCCAAAAGCACGAGAAAGTTGTATCCAAAAGCACGAGAAAGTGGTATCAAAAAGCACGAGAAAGTTGTATCCAAAAGCACGAGAAAGTTGTATCAAAAGCACGAGAAAGTGGGATCCAAAAGCACGAGAAAGTGGGATCCAAAAGCACGAGAAAGTTGTATCCAAAAGCACGAGAAAGTGGTATCAAAGGTGCGAGAAAGTGGTATCCAAAAGCACGAGAAAGTGGTATCAAAAGCACGAGAAAGTGGTATCCAAAAGCACGAGAAAGTGGTATCCAAAAGCACGAGAAAGTGGTATCCAAAAGCACGAGAAAGTTGTATCAAAAGCACGAGAAAGTTGTATCCAAAAGCACGAGAAAGTGGTATCCAAAAGCACGAGAAAGTGGGATCCAAAAGCACGAGAAAGTTGTATCCAAAAGCACGAGAAAGTGTATCAAAGGTGCGAGAAAGTGGTATCCAAAAGCACGAGAAAGTGGTATCAAAAGCACGAGAAAGTGGTATCAAAAGCACGAGAAAGTGGTATCCAAAAGCATGAGAAAGTGGTATCAAAAGCACGAGAAAGTTGTATCAAAAGCAGG